TGGACTGGCCAGGCCAGGCCAGTGGTCCTGAGAAGCCCGGAGGAGAGGACATCAGTGGGCATAGTTAGGGCCAGCTTCCTAGGTGTGGCGCAGGGAAGAGCCAAGTGAGGCTTGTCTCCTCTTCTTGTATTGGGGGGTCCCAAGAAGAGGCCCCAGTTTCCCCATCATGCATGCTTTAAGGGAGGTGGGCATTTCAGCCAGAACAGAGCACCCTTAGTCCTGACCCTCACCACCCCTTTCTGTACTTGGTTATATGGGTACCTTTCTGAGCATGGAGCTGCATGAGGTGCGGAAGAAGGGGTGCGGGGAGGTCTTGGTGGTGGAGGGTGCTGCTCAGGTCCTGCCTAGGTACAACCCACGGAGGCAGCCTTTCAGGGAGCTGCTAGTTTGCACTGCTGGGCCTTCTTCCCTTCCCTGGAGGTCAGTTGCCTCCTATGGTGGGGAGGCCAGCTCCAGCTGGGGCTCCCCAGACACACTGCTCTGGGGGGAGGGGGCAGGGGGAGACGCTGCGGTGTGGGCCAGGCGGTCCACCCCCCAGGCAACCACCGTCTATGTGGTGGATCGATTGGTCCTCTGTGCATTAGCGGGGGCGGCTAAGATGCCTCATCAATATTTTAAGGAATGACCTGGCCATGAGATCCGGAACTGTGCTGCGGGGGTTGACAACTGGTCTTCTTTTTCTTTTCCAATTGTCAGCGCTATTTTTACCACCGGAAGGCCAGCCGCCCCCTCTCCCAGGCCTCTAGTCAGTGGAAGTGGGGGAGGGTCTCTTGTCTGGATTCCTGTCTGAGGGGTTGGGAGAGTCCATGGCTTGGAAAGGCAGAGACTCTATTAGGCTTCCCCTGCCCCACCTCTCTGAAGCCCCAGCCTGTCCCGCTACAGCCCTGGTGAGATGGGAACAAAAAACATTTTTCCAGAAGAAGAAACCAGAAAGCCCAGCTAAGCCTTGGTAAAAAAAAAAAAACACTGGTTGATGATTGAGGGAGGGTGGTCTGCCCACCCAAGGCCCCTTGGGGCACCAGCATCTGATGCCTAGAACCCTTGGGCTCCCTTTGTCTCCAGCCCCAATCCTCAGAGAAGCCTGTAAAGATGAGAGGAGGCCTCCTACCTACCCCTGGTCCCAGTCAAAAATGTCCAAGGGCCATCACAGTCAGGGGTTTGTAGAGCCACTGCTCCAGCACCTCATTTTATTGATGGGAAGCCAAGGCCTGGGGAGACCCAAGGCCTGGCCCAAAATGGAGCCTAGATCTTCCCTTGCCCCATCCTGAACTGTCCTGCCCCAACTCACAAGTCTCTTCTGGCTCCCTGGGCCATAGGAGGAGGCACTCACCTAGAGACCGGTGTGGTCAGGCCTTGAGCCCAGGTCAGCCAAGGTCACTACATGTGGTCTCACCCCAGTTCTGGCCCACAGCATACCCTTGCGCCTGCTGGGTCCAAGCCCTCTTCTGTGTGACTTGCAGCCTCCCCTTTACAGAGAAGGTACATCTGGGCCTCAGTCTACCCATCTGTAATTAAGTATGGGGCTCCCTGCTGACCCTGCTGCTTGTAACTTATCTTTGGCTGTTCAACCCCTTCCATTCTGTGCAACCCTGGCTGGACCCAGGGGACACTGAGGGCCGCTGTGCTGGACATCAGGCATATAGACTGCTGGCCACCCAGCAAGGGTGAGTCGGGAAGGTCAAGACAGGGCCATCGTCTCAGTGCCTCCTAGGCCAGTCCCTGCCTAGGATGTAGCCATAGCCACCATATCCTTAGTAGATTCCCCTCTGAGTGCCACCCCTACCTCCAGTGAGGGCGAGCTGGGAACCCCCTGTGAGAGCCTCTCCCCAGGGCCCTGTCTCTCTACCCTGCCCCTCTTGCCAAGAATATTGTCAGCCAGCAGGAAGTGTAGGGAGGAACAGGGATTAATGCCAGAGGATGGGGAACTGAGACTGACTTCCTCCCTGTTCCCACCTGCCTCATGCGGAAGCAAAAATATGTCAAACAGAGGCATCCACACTTGATGCCGGCTCCAGTGCTAGCCCTTCCCAGGCTGCCATGTCACCCAGCCTGACCCTCCTGGTGGTCTTAGTGGGGAGGCGGCCACTTGGGGGAACACTGCCCTGCTGGGTAAAATGGGTGGGCTTGGAGCACAGGGACAGGCCCTCATAGGCTTAGCCTCAGGGCTTCCTCCCCGACTCCCAACCCCCTAAAAGTTCCCCTCCACAGGACAAGCTGAGGCCTCAGCTCTCCTTCTCTCGAGGCCTTGGTGGTGGTGGCAGGTGCATTTCTGCCTCTACTTCCATTACTGACATGACTCAGGCCTGCCTTCTGCCCCCAAAGAGTGCCTATGCCAGATTAGGGGGAGAGACATGGAAACATACCTGGAGCACCCTGCAATTGGCACCTTGGACATATAGGAGGGGACTGTGGGAGCTCAGAGGAGACACTCATGCCACCTGGCAGGGGAGGCAGGAGGAGATCAAGGAAGGTTTTCTGGAGGAAGTGACCCTGGATTAATTATTGAAGAATGAGTAGGGTTTAGCCAGATGAAGAAAAGAGGAACAGCAGGACATTAAGAAGGCTCAACACGAGCCAAGCTCATGGGTGCCTCAGCCCTCATTCTTCCCAACCCCTCCTCCCATGTCCTGATAAGTCTGCCTCCAAGGTATTGCTTTGTCCTACAGGGAGGGTTCTCCAAGGTAGGCTCCACCTTCTCCAGAAAATCTTAGCTCCCTGTTGCCTTCTCCCCCAATACCTGGGCAGGAGACCTGCTGGTTTGGAAAACTGTCCTCTCTGCTAAGTGGCCTTATCAAGTGGCTTGTTTTCTCCCTGGGGCTGTCCTGGGGTTATTGACTGCAGATCGATGGCCCAGGTTGCCCCAAGGTGAGAGGGAATTCCCACAGTGCCCTATGACCCAGAGGCCCTGCATGTGATCTCACAGAAGTGGGGCAGCTATTTTTACCTGGCTTTAATTACAGTGTTCAGATCCAAGAGGAGAGATGAGGCGGTACTCCCAAAAGCTGTGAAGGCCATGCCAGAAATGTGGGTTCCTGGGAGGGCAGCTGAGGGCATGACCCTCTGCCTCAGTTCCCCTAATGCTGGGCTAGCCCCTCAGATGGGCTCCCAAAGGCAGGGCAGGACCACATCACCCCGCTCATTGGAAGTTCACCCTTGCCTTGGGAGAGGGTTGCATAAACACTGGGCTGTGCCTGTGTCCTGGAGGTGATGGCCACATTAGGAGACAAAGAGAGAAAGCCCCCAAATACCAAGTAGCTTGGCAATCCAGAGTGATGAGGGAGTAAGGAAGAGGAAGCTGGGGTGAGGAGACAGCTGAGATTCCTGGACTGGGGCCTCTTAAAGAGGTCAGATTTGGATGGGCGCTCTGGAGGGAACAGGATTTTGAGAAGTGGGGACACAAGTCCAGCGTGCAGGCAACTGGGATAGAAAGAAGTCTGAGGAGTGCCTTCAATGCCAGTATGAAAAGTCAGTCTTACTTGATCCACACTAGGAGATGACCCCCAAGTCCTGGTGTCAGGGTAAGAACCCCAGGCCTGTCATTAACAAGCTGTGTGTCCCCAGGCCCCATGTGAGAGCTTAGGCGATGACAGCTGTGACATGCCCAGTATGCCAAACACATTCATTTGTTCATTATTTTAGTCATTCATTCTTTGTTTACAGGGTGTCTGCCATGTGTGAAGCACTAGGGACACAGCCACTTATAAGACTTAAAATACCTGCCTTTGGAGCTGGCATCCTCAGGGGGACGGTACAGTGGGGGCAAGGGGAGGGGAGAAAACAACCAAGCAAGTAATTAAGTGGTGTGTCTGGTGGGGGTAAACACTACGGAGAAAAGTAAGCAAGCAAAGGGCAGGAGATACCAGTGCTGGGTAGAGTGGAAGCATTTCTTTTTCTCAGTGGAGTGGTGGTCAGGGAAGGCTATTGGGCAAGATAGTATTAGAGCAGAAACCTGAAGGAGGAGAGAGTGTGGAGGAAAGAACATTCCAGGGAAGTGCAGAGGTCCTGGGGTGGAAATCTGACCGGCATGCTTTTGCAATGACAGGAGGCAGGGGTCGCCAGAGCAGAGTGGGCAAGAAGAGTGGCACGGAGGCAAGCTCAAAGGTAAAGGGAGGCAGATCACAGGAGGCCTTCAGGGCGGGGGTAGGACTTTGGCTTTTACTCTGAGTGGAATGGGAGCCATTGCAGGCTTTTGAGCAGAAAAGGGACCCGATCTGTCTTATGTTTTAGAAATGATGATTTGGTTCCAAACTATAGAGTGAGGTCAGTTTCTGGAGAACCAGTGAAGAGGCTGCTAAAGTACTGCTTACAAGAGAAGAGGTTATGTGGGTCCCTGGACAGCAACCTGGATGGCAATGAGTGGAAGAGAGGCTGGATTTCCAGCATATTTCAAAAGTAGAGCCCAGAGGATTGCACATGATTTCTTGTCCACGGGGCTTTGGTGGCCCTTAGAAAAGGTGACTTAAGGATGTGAGGCCACTGGAGGCTCATGGGGACCCCACTTGAAAGCATATGTCATCCCAGCCTCCTTTGGCTGCTCCAGGAATGAAAGACCTTGGGGTTACCTGACTGAGGCTGCTGTCTGAAGAGACGGTGAATGGGGGCTCCCCCCCTGCAGACACCACCACCTACCTCCCCGGTGTCCTCTTCACACACTGGTGCTCCTCAGAAAGGCTGCACGTTGTAGAACAGCCCCCCCCCCCC